TCTTTCCATTTTATTCTCCATGTTTGGTACCAAAATAAACCTTAGAAACGTGGGTTTTAGACTGAGACTGCTTTAATTTTGGTGGTTTTTACTGGCGCCTTGCGCGCACTGGTAAATAGCGCAGATAGCGGGAAATACGAACGAAAGATAGGCCAATCAAGTCTAGTGTAAACAATGTCAGACCTTTTAAATTCCTTAGAAATGTACAAGTATAAACAAGAGATCACAATATCAACTGATGATCATTGTTTAAAATACCTGAGGGAAACGTGTGTTCCAGCAAATAATATTATCTACACTATGAACATTCCAAACGAGCACCTCACAAGGCACTAATGAACTCAAGGATCAGGGCGTGCTATCCCAATACTCGTTTGTCGATGTTTTGAACGTTTCGATTTTAGCCCAGTATTGTATTAAGATAAAGGATCGTTGCATAAGAGTAGAAAATTTGATCTTCAAACCTCAAGGGAAATTGTAGAAAGCTCTATTTTGGAGGGAAAACCCGGTGACTCGTCCCGGGCTCAAATGTCCGGAATTCCTGGCCATGTCGAGCTATCCATTTATATCTCACGATTTATCGAAGGTATTTCTTTGAAGTCTATATAATAAAAATCTCTGATACTATCATGAGTGAATTTGAATACTTCACAGATCCGCATAGAAGTTTGCCTTACGTTTACAGGATGTCTTTGTTTTGTCATATATCTACGATCTTTACCAATAATACATAAGGATTTTCTAATCTTAAAATAAAAAAGTGATTTAAAATAAAATAAATTTAAAATTAAGTAGTGATTGTCTTATCTTATAATGTTTTATGTCAGTTGTCGTCCTTAAATCTAAACTAATAATATTTAAGCCATTGTATTTTATTCCATAGCTAATCTATATCATGTTTGTCCACTAGAGACTAGACTTCTTAATAAAGGAGTTGCTTCACGATCACAACCACCATCACTAAAGCAGAATACGTGAAGGATGGCTTGACTTGAATATCACCTGAAANGGGTAGAGTCCCACGGGAATATTGCTTTCAAATGATATGTTGTCACGCAGTTGCCCCTATATTAGCATATGGCACTGGTCAAACGTGCATCCTATTGGTTTGCACTAGTCAGCTTTGTTTTCTCATGTTTTCTGGCACTAGTCAAAGTCGATTTTCATTGGCTACTTGTATGGCTGGCACTAGTCGGCACTGGTAGGAAAGATCGAGCTAGCGTGACACCAGAATGTATTTCACAAGACACTCAAGAATAAACCTATACAGTCGATACAGTCAGAATTATAAAACATGGCTTGAAATATAAATCGTGGATATCCAGCTTGCCGAAAGGTTCGACTTCTTATTTGATTTAGGTGTTTTGTTTAACGATCTTCTGATTAAAAACGATCAAATCACAAACGTGTGGAAACCGGCCGACAGCGCGATAGAGTTAATACAAACTCTGCCGGCCCGGTCTGCCGGCCGATAACGCGTTTGTATTCCCTGAGTCAAAAGAAGTTAGGAGAACTAGAAGATCCAATCCTGTATTGATAAAGTCCGGCTAAAGAATTTTTCKTGGTTGGCTTATTCAAAATATCTCGATGGACAACCGTCTTTCAATGCGATCGAAGGTCATTCAAACGGTATAAAATGTCAAACACACAAATACGAAGTATGAGACAAGAAGTAGTGCCTTTCGATCAGCAGCTAGTACGTTGCTAAAGCAACAAATAGCCAATAATAGAGATATAATTGAGTCATACACGGCCGAAGAGTCGATAATCCATAGTGTAATATAGTTAATTTAGAGTTTCAAAATTTACATGTTTGTAATTACTCAAAAATCGTAATTTTGCAATTATGGTATATGGGGTACAGTTGGTTTGAAGGATGGCACTAGTCAACAAAAATCCTAGATCCACCCCTGCGGGCTCCAAGTTGAATTGTACACTCACACCGGTCTCAAGGCCAGTTTTGTCTTGGTTATGACGTCATATAATAAATCAGTTTTTCTGTTTTCATTGGTAGCGATGCGATCACGTGATAGACATATTAGTTTCCCGGCTCTCAGACGCTTTAAGTCGCGCTATTTCGTTTCTCTCGAAAGGAAATGACTTAACTTAATACGAAGGCCACTATAGTATTAGAGTATTACAGTCGGTGACATTAAATTTACACTTCGTTACATCCTGAATGAAAAATTCGTGGGTCGTCACAAGTTTACAATAATCTGTCAATATTTAGCTTGTAAAAAGCACTCACCTTAACTCACTATAAGAAAATCGACGCGAAAAATGAATGATATTAGGATGAACCGAACTTTTCGCGTAAATCTTCAAATCCTCAAATGATTTTATTTCAATGAAATCACTGTGGTAACACGTCAACTTTGTAATTAGAAGACCCCTTGAAGACGATGATAATGAGCTGTCAAGCTATTTCGACTTTATTCACTGAAGTCATAAGCTGTCCGACACTTTCACTCCTCGGATTTGGTACCCAATTATTATACACTGGAAAAAATCGTTCACTTTAAAAGGTTGTAAATWTGATGTAAATATTATGTAAGTGTCCAAAATGATGTAAATTTGATGTAAATTTGATGCTTAAATTTGATCAAAATTAAATTTACATCAAATTTACATCATTTTGGACACTTACATAATATTTACATCAAATTTACAACCTTTAAAGCGCGCGATTTTTTCCAGTGATATTCATAAAGCTGTCATGTCAATGGCTCTTACTTTCATTTCAAAATGTCATGTCAGAATGTCATGAATTCTGCTTTTTATTGTTTCACTTCACCATTATTTCTTTTTGGGGGTTATAACGGTGAATCATTGACAGTACAAGATCACGTGACTGAGCAATTAAATAAATTTGCAGTGTATTCTTATCGTCCCTAAATTCAATCTATTTTGCGTTGCATTCACCAAAGCAGATGTTTTGACTGTCAAATCATTTACTCTAAACCTATTCGCATGATTCCACACATTGCAAGAATTGGGCTCCCTGCTTTATCACACGATGTGTTGCAAACTTAAATTTTGCCATAATCCCATAATCCTTTTCGATAATTCGACAGTTCAAGATGAAGCATCTACGTACGAGTGAAATTAACAATAAGGATTTAACGAAATCAGACAGACCATCGCAACTATAATTCCTATAAAAAATATAAATAAAATTAAACAATAAACAACACATTCTCGTGCGTTCCTGGTGAAATAAACCTCGCGGGATGTTGGGAGAACACGAAAAAGGCGTAAAAAATCTCGAGCAGGAGGCGAGAGATTTTTATCCTTTTTCACAATATCCCAAGTGGTTTATTTCACCAGGAACGCACGAAAATATGTTGTTTATTGCTTTTATATTATAGCATTTCCGTATCCGTGCGTTCACCAGTGAAATAAACAATAACATTTGACCAATCAGAGAGCACGTACTATGATAGCTATAATATAAATATATATGAAATGTTATGCTAGGGATGTATAGAACTTTTCGTGTAATTCTTCAAATCATCAAATAATGAGTGCTTTCGTTTATATTTCAAATTAAATCACTGACCTGTCAAGCTATTTCGACTCATAATCTGTCCGAATGTTTCACTCCTTCGACACAGTGACTCAATCCTTTTTACTCAAAACTGTCGATGGCTCTGGCTTTCATTTCAACATGCAGGCATTGTCAAAAGATCATGGATTCTATATATTATTTATTCATTTGTTATTATTATTCCATTTCATTTCACCATTATTTCTTGTTTTTTGCATGATTGACGGCACAAGGTCACGTGACTGAGCAACTGAATAAATCTGCAGCGTATTCTTATCTTCTTTAAATTCAGTCGACCAGTGTTCCTGTTGCTTTCAGATAATTTGTCGATATCGACCGTTACTTGAATTCACAAAACTGTGAATTTATATTATGTCGCATTTTTTAAGCGAATTGCTGGAAATAATACAAGAATTCAGCGGCCGGAAAGCTCTGAAAATGTAAAAGAAATCATGAAGTACCCTGTCAGCCTGTAGCAGTAAATACTGTAAACACCGTGTAGATATCAATATTCCACTTTTGGTCTTACAAAAATTATCTGCCAATATTTGAACAGGTCAACCTTTATAATACTGTAATGTCAATATAGAGCGTAATAAAAACCAAAATAGGTGATAAAAACAGGAAAAAAATACATATCATTTTTGTACTTATATAGTGTCACCGAACGTTTTTGGTAGTGAGCAAGTAATGTTCTGTTTTATTGTTTTTACTTACGAAGAAAATACAGGACAGTCTAAATGTTCGCGGTTCGCGGAACGGAAATATCACGAATTTCAATTCATTTATAGTTTTTTGCTTTTATTATTTTATTAATTAGAAAGATGTAAATGTAAAAGCATCAAAAAGAACAAAAACTGGTGTAAATATTGGTCTATATGTGCAATTTGTCTGTGAATGTCTTTTCAGTGCGTACGTTTTACAAATCTTGCACATCAAGAAATTCTAATTAGCAAACCATCTTCTTGTAGGGTCCCTGCACAGAATTCATTTGCGCTAGACTCAGCAAAGATTCTATTTGGGGTCATAATAGAGACAATTTCATATTACGCAAAAAATCAACTAATTTCTTCTCAGTCAAAGCTATCAAGTATTATTTTTACCCTAAAAATGAACTAGTTTTTTAATTCTATTCCATTTGATTTTTGCTTTTTACTTATTTTGTCCATCCAATCAGTTTTCTTTAAAACATTCTTTTTCCCAATTAACTTATAATTTGGGTTTCCTGTGCAACTTAATCCGCGCTTTCCTAGTACAGCGGTATTTCCGCGCGTTCTAATGACGTCATAATCGTTAATCAAATCACTCGCCTGGTATCTTCGATACAGTAAGGAGGTAAGTTTACGTCTTCTTCAGGAAATACCTATTGATCACACTGAATGCATAAATTTCTTTTATTTTTCAGATTTGTAACTTAAACTTCTTGTACGATTTACACTTTTGATTCCGAACAATGGCTTCCGTTGGAGGAAAAAAACATGTTAAAAGTAAGTATCGATTGTGATGGAAATATCTGACACGGTCACGTGATCATATTTATGATCGTATTTTTCTAAAAGCGCTGTTTTTAACTAACTTCAGCCAATGACGGACGACGACAAAGTCCAGAATCTGGACGACACAGTCCAAAATCGGTAAGTAAACTAGGAATATGGAAAATAGAACTGCAAAATAAGCAAAAGCTGCAAAAGATAACAAGATAAAGATAAACTATCAATAAACAATTTTCTCAAAGTAGATAGTTACTATTGGTAGGAAAATTGATTTTGTCACCAAATAAGTAGATATGTAGTTGTGCTTTAAAATGAAAAAACACGAACAATTAAGTCTCCGAGGAAAAAAATGTGCAAAGGTCGGGAGCATTTTCAATTATGATGTAGCACTTAGAATATCAAAAATAAATCAATAACAAGTTCTTTGGTCATGTATATGTAAATAACAGTCTTGAAAAAAGTCTTGCTTTTACCGGGTGCGTTAACAGTTTGATATATTATAAAAAGATTTCATTTTAGAACTAACAATAGTTTTAATAAATTTGTCGCAGCTCTTGGATACCGCCGCTCATAAAGAGCTTCAGGTAATTATCCTCAGTGAAGTACTTTCATTTTACACCCAGCTATATACAGTGATTGCTGGATTGTTAGGATACATGTTTAATTATTCCGTAATCAT